CTAAGGGCAAGGTCAATGCAGGACAAATTTCCCTTATGGCAAGCACACAGCTTGCCAGGCCCAAGCCAAGCCAATCAGCATCAATCGCAGGGGAGGTGGAGGAATAATTCTTGGTGGGGCCCACTCCAAGATTTTGGAATGTGGCCAAGGGCCACACTTTGCTGTGGCGGGGGTGCAGGGTCTAGGGTGGAGGTTGGGAGCAGAACAGCACATGGGGTAAGGGACTGTAGTTTAGGAGATGGTGTGGGGTATGACAGGGAGTTTGGGGTAGTGACCTGGGTCAGGGGAGGGGGTGTTGTTTTGGGTCGGGGTGGGGTCTGGATGCAGGAGAGGATTCTGGCCTGGGGGAGAAGTGTAGGAGGGGGGTACAGGGTCTGGGAGGGAGCTGTGACCTGGGTACAGAGGGCTTGGAGGGTGACCTAGGGAATTGAGTTGGGTCACAGGAGGGGCTGGGGTGCCAGAGGCAGGCTGTGTCTGGGAGGCACTTACCTAAGTAGCTCCCAGCCAGCAGCCCTGCAGCACCCCCAAGGCAGGCTGGGCTCCCTGCCTCCTGCAGCCCCAGATCACTAAAATTGCAGGCTGCTCCCTCCATGTAGCTCTCAGCTCCAGGAGGGGGAAGAGGCTTGTGCTGCTCCCTGCCCCCAGGCCAATCTCTCAGTTCCTATTGGCCGGTTGTTTCCAGTCAATCGGAGCTGAGGATTGGGCTGGGGGTGGGGAGATCACATGAAGCCCCCCCCTCGCTGCAGAGCCCAGAGCCGCAGGGACTGAGCTTTAAACCACGGCAGCTGCGTGTGCCTGAGAGTCCCGGGATTGGGGTCCCCAGGCCGGATTTGGGGGCTTGGTGGGCCAGATCTGGCCCCTGGGCCGTATATTGTCCAGCATAAATACCCAGGTTCAGTCTCCAATCGTGTAGAGAGCAACGACCCTGGTCCCAGTTCTCAGCACTTCCCCTACTAGCCAAGCCGAGGGAGAGAAGGAGACTCATGGATGGTCACAACCTTCTGGCCCAAATTCAGCAAAATCCCTTCGTTTTGGCCCCTGCGTCTCTCCCAGCCAGAGGGCTGCAGGGCGGGTGTCCCAGGGCCGGGGCAGACTGGCCTGGCGAGATACCGGGAATTTCCCCGTTGGCCGAAGGGCCGAATGGCGGCTGCTGAAGGAGGAGGGGGAAACCCGGCAAGCGGCTCCTGGAAGCAGCTGCCGGAGTTGTGGCTCTGCCCAGCCCTTTCTCCCCCATCTCCTCCCCACTCCAGAGGTGTAGCAAAGGAGGGGCGGGGGAACAGTTGCCTCTGCCCCCTAGTGCCGTGCTAAGGGGTGGGCCCCGGGCTGGGGTGAGTCCAGGAGCTGCCCTCTGGCTACATGCTGCTGCGGCTGAGCCAATTCTCTTCAAAC